CCATTTGACTCCAATTGGCTTTACTCCTATTGGCAGGTTAGTCAACTCCCAAGTCATGTTTTTCTCTATTGATTCCATCTCTTTCATCATAGCATTTCTCCAATTCTCACTCTTAATGGCGTCCTCAAAGGAGATTGGGTCATCTTCGGTGACCACCATTACATTTAGGTCATTATCATCTAAAAGACCTTCTCCTGTTTCGTAATCTTTCATCCAAATTGGTTCACTCCTATTCCTTCTAGCCCTCCCTGCAACTGAAGTCTCATAATTAATAATATGAGAATTATTAGGATAAATATCAGTACCTGCAGAACTGTTTTCAGCATCTTCAATTTGATCTGTGATTTCTTGAGCACCAGTATTTTCCACAATGTTTCCTTCAAACACCTCTTCAGAGTCACTCACATATTCTTCATTACTTCTACATTCTAGAATATCATGTTGACATTCTTCTGCATTCTGCTTCCAATCCCAGCCTTTTTGCTCTTCAAAAACCACATCTCTGCTGATTAAAATTCTTTTGTTGACAGGATCAAACAACCGATATGCCTTGGATTCATCACTTACTCCTAATAAAACACATTTCTTGCTTTTATCATCTAATTTCACTCGATGCTGATCTGGTATATGCACATGAGCCAAACATCCAAATACTCGAAAGTAATCAACAGTAGGCTTCACCCCACTCCATACTTCTTCGGGAGTTTTGTCTTTCACTGCTGTTGTAGGACTTCTGTTAAGAATATGAGCACACCACCTAGCAGCTTCAGCCCAAAATATTTTGGGAACTTGTTTTCCAATTAGCATAGATCGCACCATATTCATAATTGTTCTGTTCCTCCTTTCAGCAACTCCATTTTGCTGAGGTGTGTAGGCTGCAGTTAACTGCCTACGTATGCCTTGGCTTTTGCAAAAATCACCAAATTCGTTTGAAGTGAATTCTCCTCCTCTATCTGTCCTTAAACATCCAATGCTTACACCAGCTTCTTTTTCAACCAGCACCTTGAATCTTTTAAAGTATAAAAAGGTTTCTGATTTTTCATTCAAGAAATAAAGCCAAATTTTTCGGGAGAAATCATCTATAAAACTCAGAATATACCTTTTGTTGCTGTTTGATATTGGATTGATAGGTCCACATATATCTGAATGCACAAGTTGAAGCCTTTTTGATGCTCTCCATAGACTGTTCTTGGGCATAGGCTTTCGGTGCTGCTTCCCAGCCAAACAGTGCGTACAAAGCTCTCTTGGAACTGTGACAGCAGGCAGTCCATTCACCATTTGTTTGGAGAAAAGTGTTTTCAGACCACTATAGCTTAAGTGACCAAATCGGTTGTGCCAAAGTTGTGTCCCTTCCTCCAGTTCTATCTGGAAACATGTTGAATTTAAAGGTGCCTTGGTAGCTTTCAGAATAAACATTCTATTTTCCTTCATATCTATTTCCATAATCTGTCCTCTCTCAGGATGAGAGACTTTACACTTCCCATTCTGAATCTTTATGGACAAGCCTTTTTCTTGGAGTTGTCCTATGCTTAGTAAATTGTTCTTCAATTCTGGAACGTAGTACACATGTGAGATTACATGTATGGCTCCATTAACATTTAACCGAACACTTCCTTTCCCCATTACAGCTATTCTTGTGTCATTGCCAAGTTTTACTGCATGTCTAAAGTTCTCATCTAATTCTGAGAACCACTCTTTGTTACCACTCATATGGTTACTACACCCAGAATCAAGAAACCATTCTTCTGTTGTTCCTTGCTTCAACTCAAAATAAGTCATTAGCAGGAGTTCATCCTCCTGGACTGCCTTTTCTTCCACCTCTGCATAATTTAAATTTTTCTCCCAGGTAGGACATTCATATTGAAAATGTCCAAATTTGTGACATTTGAAACATTCAATTTCAGCTTTGTTGAAGGACTGTCTGCCTCTTCCTCTGCCACGAAAGAAACCTCGTCCTCTTGCTCTTCCTCTTCCCTGACCTCTTCCTCTCCTGTCTTCATGGATAATTTGCAGTGCTTGGTCTGCTTCGTCATGTCCCACCATCCTTTGCTCATGAACTAAAAGACTGCTCTGCAGTTCATCAATCGTCATAGTGTCCAAGTTATTTGATTCTTCAATCGAGCACACAACATAATTAAATTTCGGAAGCATGGACCGTAAAATTTTTGCAGCAATAATATTCTCCCGCATACTTTCTCCACATGCCTTCATACTTTTTGCAATTTTTAAGGTGCGGGCAAAGTATGAATTCACTGTTTCATCTTCCTTCATACGTAGAATTTCAAATTCTTGACGCAGTGCTTGTAATTGTGCTCTTTTCACTCTTGTAGATCCTTGAAATTTTTGCTTCATAGAATCCCAAATATCTTTGGAGGTATCATCATTGAGGATAGTATCTAGAATTTCACGATCAATGGCTTGATATAAATAATTCTTTACTTTCAAATCCTTCAATTTTTGTTCTTCCATGACTTTGAGTTCAGCTTCTGATGCAGTTGTTTTATCTGTAACAGCTGGAATTCCAAACTCTACCAACTGCCAATATTCTTTAGAACGAAGAAAATTCTCCATGAGTTTCGCCCAATGATCATAATGTCCATCAAATCTAGGGATTGCAGGTTGCACATATTTGCTGGTGTTTGAATCTCCCATGTTTCTTCTTTGTGTCTATGTGCTGCTACTATTTTTTTTCTTTTTTAGGATGTGCTCACTCACTCAATAAAATTCTGGATCAGGCCCCTATGAAGGAGCTCTGATACCAATTGTAAACACGTAAGTACTCTCTGCTTTTGGGTGAAAAACACTCACTTCTTAATTCAAATAACAGATGATAGGCTTTATAGCCTTACAGCAGCAAAGAAAACAAACTCTCTAACAAAAGAAAACCAACTCTGCACGTCTCAATACGTGGGCAGTTTCCTAAACAGACTCTGCACTATATCCCTAAATAATAGGTCAATATTTGACCATAATATTTAAGTACAAAATTAAAAACTGAAACTAACATTTAATTACTAATAAAACAGAAATTAATCTTTATTTACTAATAAATTCGTGTAGAATTTTGTATGTGGCATTAACTTCATTTTGCATGAGATGACTTTTATTTATAACCTTTTGATAAAAGAACAATTATATCTTACATGTTTTTTATCTTCGTCTCAATGTTTTCCAAATCATACTTGAGTTTACACTTACAAATTTTTTTTAGCATTCAAAGTGCTATATAAAATACAAATTTTCTCTCTAACTCCTCTTATAATTCTAACAATAAATTCAACAAGAATCTACATATAGTTTAATCCAAACAACCTTGAATAAATTGGTTCACTTTATTCTTGCATTATTTAGTTATAAAAACTCCAAAACAACTCAAACAAAAATTCACAACCCTACTTGAAACACCATTAGAAAAACAAAAACAAAGTATTGCACTCAAATAATTATATCCACACCACTCTGGTGTATAAAAATTACAAAATAAAGAAAAGATATAACCTAGAGTGACATATATTCTTTAATATAATTACATAAAAAAAACTTATATCATTTCTTATCTTAATTGATCATACTAAGTGATGAAGTTTATTTAAAATATAAAAGATGATTATGATTATAAAAAAAACTTGTTTAAAAAAGAAACTAAAACTTTCAAAAATATTTAAAAAGAGTTCTAAAACTATTAGAATACTTTCATCTAAAAAAAAGTTTGAAAACTAAAGGGGTTATACTAACTAAGATAATAGACTAGTTTTTATTAGAATAAATTATTTTATTCTTAAAGTAATCTTAAAAAGTATTTTGAGCTGTATAATAGATTATTATTAATCATAATTAGTTATTCGTGAAAGCGTAAATTTTTAGATTGTATAATATTATCAATTACTGTTTAAAATAATCAATTATTAGCGAAAATAATTAATATTATGATTATTATTATGACTCATCGAATAATTTGGAAACATTGAACAACAAATTTTTAACCACATATAATAATCAATTGTTATTTGAGATAATAAATTGTTTGCAAACTAAATAAAATCCATATTTAGTTAAACTTAAGATATATAATCATTATAAACTTAATATAATTAGTTAAATGTTTGTAAAAAACCATCAAACTAATTTGTTCAACACTTTATAGAGATTAATTCGTATTTTATGATCATATTAAGACAAGAAAGAAATGGAGAGTAAAACCATTAACCATTAACTAGAGGAGCAATCATCATTAAAAGATTAATACATTATGCTTATTAACAATAACTATATATCTTACAAAAAACACTTTATATACATTATATAAATATATAATAAGCTATAAATTCTTTAGTTTATATATATAGTAAAATTTTTATAAATTTATATAATAAAGCATATATACATTTATAAAACAAAAACAAAAAATAAAAAATTAGATAAATAGTTGATTGAGCATAATAAATATTGATATATTTTAGTTTTTAGTATAACAATTTTTTTTAAATCTTAATAAAAACTTTAATTCCATTAATTTTATTTAATTATAATTTAACTTTATTTTTTTAATTGAATATATGTTTGATCTTTAATAATTACTACGTATGTTTATTAAAGAAAAATTAAGAATAATTACATAATAGTTTTAATTTTTTCTTTAATAAACATAGATAAAAGTATTAAATAATAAAAACTTGATTAATTATATTAAGGTTTAATACCTCTTTTGGTCCCTCGAAAGGGGGTAAATGTTCAATTGTGTCCTACGTTTTTTAAGAAGTTCAATGTGGTCCCAACTTGTGTAAAAAGTGTGCAATTAAATCATTTTTGGTAACGGCGTTAATTTTTTAACGGGCCAGCTGACAGGGTGTACTGAAGTTTGCAACGTGTCTGGGGAAGGTTAATATGTGGCTGTGTGAGGTTAATACGTGGCTGTGTGAGGGTAAACGTGTGTATATTACTGTGGTTAACAAATCAGATGTTAGGGTTTGGGTTGCAGAGAATTGGTCATTGAGATACGAATGGCTTCTTCCGAAGGGTGTTTGTCGTGTTCGAAAAGTTGGGGCAAAGGATCTTCTCGGTCGTCCCATGGTTGTGGTGTGTTGGAAAATCTTATTCGTCTGAGGTTAGACAAGTGCAAACAGCTCCAAAGGCTTCCAGACTCCATTGGAAATTTGAAATCTTTGCGATGGCTAATGATGAAGGAAACAACACTTACACGATTACCAGATAGCTTTGGAATGCTCAGAAACCTGGTAGAACTAGACATGAAAAGAATGCCCTATCTTAATGGGGCTGGAAACAACATGTCTACAGGGACAATTATTCCTGAAATACGAGAACAACCTAGTTCAGAGGCAATATTAACTTCTTTTTGCAATTTAAGCTTGCTGGAAAAGCTAAATGCTCATGGATGGGGAATATATGGAAAAATTCCAGATGAGTTTGAAAAGCTATCATCACTACAAACTTTAAGTTTAGGTCACAACAATATTTGCAGTCTTCCAGCCAGCATGACGGGTCTCTCCTGTCTCAAAAATCTTTTGTTGTCAGATTGCAGGGAGCTCATGTTTCTGCCTCCTCTTCCCTCTAGCCTAGAAGAGCTAAATCTGGAAAACTGTTTTGCAGTGCAGTACATACATGATATTTCAAACTTGGAGCGATTAGAGGAGTTCAACCTTACAAATTGTGAAAAGGTGGTGGATGTCCCAGGTCTTGAACATTTGAAGTCCTTAAGAAGGTTGTACATGAGTGGTTGCATTGGATGCTCCCTTGCCGTAAAGAGAAGATTTTCCAAGGTTTGTCATTTCTTTGTTTTTTCCACGCCCCAAAATCACATCCTTCTGTCTTTAGCATAAAATAAAATCCAATAATTTCCCACTTATAAATTAAAGATTTGTCCCAGGTTCTACTTAAGAAATTAGAGATTTTGATTATGCCTGGAAGCAGGGTCCCGGATTGGCTTACAACAGAACCAATAGTGTTTTCCAAGAGAAGAAATAGGGAGCTCAAAGGTGTTGTTAACCAAACTAATATACACACGTTTACCCTCACACAACCACGTATTAACCTCACACAGCCACGTATTAATCTCACACAGCCACGTATTAACCTCACACAGCCACATATTAACCTTCCCCAGACACGTTGCAAACTTCAGTACACCATGTCAGCTGGCCCGTTAAAAAATTAACGCCGTTACCAAAAAGGATTTAATTGCACACTTTTTACACAAGTTGGGACCACATTGAACTTCTTAAAAAACGTAGGACACAATTGAACATTTACCCCCTTTCGAGGAAAAAAAAGGTATTAAACCTTATATTAACTATTTACATAGTTTAAACAAAAATAATTATTGTGCTAGTTTTGTTTTATTATTCAAAAAGTAAGATATATCAATGTTTGTTGTAATAATAAAATAATACAACTTTTAATTTTAAGGCTTAATAGCACCGATGGTCCCTATTTTTGTCAGGTTTGTTCGAAATGGTCCTAGTTTTTTTTCTGTTCAATGTTGTCCTAAAGTATGTAATTTATGTTCAATTTAGTCCTTTTTGCAGACGACGTTTAAATCATTAACGGTCCACTGTCTAGCTGTGTAAAACCCAAATGACATGGCATATAGAAGCTGCCATGTATCTTCTTCAACCTTCAACCCAAACAAAAACTGAAACCCTAATTTCTCTCTAGCCACCTAACACTAGCGCCGCCACACCTAAACCCTCAAGCCGCCACCGCAATCACCAAAAACCTTCAAACGCAACCCAGAAGACCATCACCAAGATGTCGCTACGACCACCTCAACGCGCCACCATCTTCATCGTGTGCCTTCACCATCATCTTCTTCCCAGTTCATGCTACCACCATAGTCACGCCGCCAACACCATGCCGTTGTGCCCATCCTTTCCTTCCACCATCAACCTTGCGTTAGCCGCCGCGAAGCGCACTTCGACCATCATCAACTGCACCGGAAACCTGCATCAAATCCAATCTAGAAAACCCACAAAAACCTAGAAACAACACCTCTGCGATTTGCGATGTCTTCGCGAGTTCCTCCTTCTCCATTGACGCAACCTAGCAGTTCGAAACCCCCAACCCTATCCCGCCTAAGAACCACCATATTTATGAACCTGCTTCTCCCTCGTGCTTTCATCAACCTGCAACGAAACACAATCAGTCCAAAACTTCCCAAATTAGAACCCACAAAACCTTAATATTGCACATTCACCTAGTGCAAGACCACCAGCATCCATCACAAGGGCAAGGCTGCAACGTCTTCATATTCTTCTTCATTGAGCCAACATCGTCGCGAGAGAGAACAAGAATCGTGACCACCACTGGCGCGCTTCCATCATCACAACAACGAATGATTCTCCTCGATTAGGACACGTGGCAGCTCCACGTGAACAGTTAAATGCCATCGTATTTGGATATTGCACAGTTAGACAATTGGTAGTCAACAATTTAAATGTCGTCTGTAAAAAGGACTAAATTGAACTTAAATTATATTTTTTAAAACAACATTGAACAGAAAAAAAAAATTAGAATCATTTCGAACAAACCTGGGACCATAAGCCCTGTTAAGCCTAATTTTAATTAGAAAGTAGACTTAGATAGCAGTTATGAAAAAATAACTTTAAAAGGCGGTGGTGAAGAGATGTTAAAAAAGTGGATGAATGTGTTCTTAACAGAAGGGGTGGTGCAAAAAGAAACAGGGCGTAGACGATGGAAGGAAAATGAGACATAATATTGGAACGCCACCCACCTCTTCTGTCAATTGTTTGCGTGTTTGGTTGCCTCAAGGATTCAATTTCAACGCAGTTTGAAATTAATCTTCCCAAAATTCTCCCACAATTAGATGAAGTAAATGAAAGTAAAATCAACGGCAGGCTAGCTTCATATGTTGAAAATCCATTTCTACTAAACTTGGGCGTTTCTTCTTTCGATTAACCCATGGATTATCTTACAGGTACATTATAATGTGTTGATCCCTCGTGTCATTTTATTTTTATCTTCCCCTTTTCAAATATTCCTTCAATTTTGTCATTATTATTTTTCAATCTGAGCTTTTAATCTTATTGCTGCCATTTGTTGCTTTTAGGTGATATTTTGCTACAATAACAAATGGGTATTGGTAATTTTGCAATTGGATAGGGTTTTGCTTTCCGGGTATTCTTGATTTGGAGTTTGAGATTGGGTAACACATAGTCATGGGTTCAAAAGTTGAGAATAGCAAAACGTGGAAATGGATTTTGGGTTTGATATACATATTTGCTGTGGCAACAATTTGGATAGCTGCTAGCTTTGTAGTGCAGTCTGTTGTTGATGCTGGTGTGTCACCATTCCTTGTTACTTACATATGCAATTCGTTGTTTGTGGTGTTGATTCCAATTGTTGAAATTGGGAGGTATTTGGAGGATTCTTATGGGGGTTTATGGTTTTGGAGGAGTGACGAGAGTAATTCCCATACGGAAGGAAGGGTAAGACACTCGGAGCAGGTTATCCTTCTCAAAGATAATGATGCAGGAAATGAAGCCAGTGAATCCTTGGTTCTTGAAGAGGTTGATGTTGTAAGTGAAGAAAGGAACAATGGTTCTGAATTGGTGCCAACAGAGATAGTGACAAGGGTATTGGTTGATGATCAAGTTAATGTGATTGAAAAGGTTGATCATCAGCTTGATGAGAAAGGGCGGTGGAGTCGGTGTAGAGTGGCCAAAGTTAGTCTTTTGATCTGCCCATTTTGGTTTTTGGCCCAACTCACCTTTAACTTGTCATTGAAGTATACTACAGTCACAGTAAGTAAATATGTATTCAATCTCTGGGATTTCTCAGTTCTGTTTCACGTACTTACCTGGCTTAAATTAGTTCTTTCATTTTTTGTGATATGCAGTCAAACACAATCTTAAGCAGTGCATCCAGTCTTTTTACCTTCTTGGTCTCCCTAGCATTCTTGGGTGAGAGATTTACTTGGTTAAAGCTCTTCAGTGTTCTTCTTTGTATGGGAGGAACAATATTTGTAAGTCTAGGTGACTCGAAATCCGGTTTAAGAACAATTGCATCAAATCCTCTTCTTGGAGACATTTTCGCTCTTCTTTCTGCAGGATTATATGCAGTTTATATAACTCTTATTCGCATGAAATTACCTGATAGTGATGGAAAGAGTGGTGAAGCTAGTACAGCTCAGTTTCTTGGATATCTTGGGCTTTTCAATGTTTTAATTTTTCTTCCGGTTGCCCTCATACTAAATATTACCAAGATGGAAAGTTTTAGTTCACTTACTTGGAAACAGCTTAGTCTGATAATCGGAAAAGGTAAGTATTCACTAGTTTTTGCATTTTGTTTTAAATTTTAGAATGTAGCTAGTTCTTTAACTGCCCTGCACTTCTGCTGCTAAATCGAAATTGTAATTATGACAGAAGAATCTACCTGTTTTAGCCTTGTACTCTCAGTATGCCCCTTTCATATGGTTTTCTACAATAGCCAACTTCTACTGAGAACCATTCCTTCAGACATAGGTTGTTTACATATGTGCACAGTTGTTTGTGTTGTCCAATTAACGTCTATGCGGGGAAGCTCTTTCTGCTAGATGATCACTTATATCATTAGTGAAGGAAGATTTTAGTTATTATTAGAATTAAAAAATATTTAAGAATAAATAATGTGTCCTACATTGTAAAGGTTTTTGACATTGATCATCAATCGCAAACTACTGTGTAAGGTAAATTTGTTTTATTTTAGAACAGAGGAGATGGCATCATTTGACTTGCTCAAAACCAAAGTTTCAAGAATATATTTTGGCCCCAGCTCTCCTTTGGCAACTTCCTGCAATGCTACTTTTATTCTTCCTCTTCTTTTCACTAGAGTGAAACTCATTCATTATAACTCTTCTGATTGACGCCTTTTGTAGCCTTCTTTGTACATGTCCAAATCATCTTAAGCAATTTTCTGTCATCTTTTCCTCAATTGATGCTGTACCACCCTTTCTCGTATATAATCATTTCATATTGTCTTTTCTTGTATGGCCGCACATCTATTTTAACATTCTCATTTCTGCTACTCTCACTTTTTCCATGTTGTACCTTTAAAGCTCAACATTCACTACCATATTATATAGGTGGATATTTAGCTGGATGTGTAGCACTCATTCGATAAAACTTTAGCTGAGTTTGGTAGTTACTTTCTGATCACAAATAACCCTCTCTGCCTTTCTCCATTTTCCCATCCTGCCTGTATCTTGTATCCTATGGAACTCATTATATCAAACTCACTTTTTTATGTTGCAGATTGCACATTTTAGCATTACATCAAACTCATTTTCTATGTTGCGGATTTGCACATTTTGAAGGGAACTGGGGTGTAGAAAGTGACATTAATATCTAATATTGTTTTCATAACCTTTTGGGTAAAAAGGGTTTTTCCTGATATCTTTTTTCCCATTAAGGGTAAAAGGTTTCTCTTTATCAGTATTATAAGATTCATATTATGGGCCTTATATTGTTAAGGCTCTGTCCAGTTCACTGTTAGTATAAACAGTTATGTAGTATTAGTAAACCCATTTTCTTTTGGTATGAATCATACGCATTCTGCGTGAGAAGTAGTTCTACTTGAGCTGTGTATCCTATTAATACTTATATACTTCGTACCTAAGAATATTAGAGTCAAACTCAAATACCTTTGTAACCTCAATAATTTAATTCATTTAATGACACAGTAGTAGAGCTTGACAATTGGGGCTGGAGGTGTCACTTTGATAATCAATTGCTAAACATTTGAAACTAAAATTCGGTGAATAATTAATGAATTTCGATTTGTGAAGTCTTGCTATCATTTACATGCATTAAAGCAAATGATGTGCAAACTGTCCTCCCTCCCAAGTATGATGACTTTTTTATCATTTATGTTCAGATTTACTTTGAAATAATGGAGAGAAACACAATCTTGTTACTACCTGAACTGAACATCTGTATTACCTTTTGTTTTTTCAATGGCGAAAAAAGCAAACCAGACTGATCTATCAAATGTCTATGAACCGGTCAAGTGTTTGTGCCCTTTAATAGTAAAACTAGATCATCAAAGGTTTGATAGAGGATTTTATGATCCACAAATTGAAAAGAGAAAGAAAAGAAATATTTTTATTGAATATAATGAAAGCACAAGAAATAGGAGTATACTCTCTCTTTTAAGGATCTC